GTGTTCGATTCCACCCGGAATAGTCCGGCGAGCATCGATAAGTTCTACAGACTGCGAAGAGACCCAATGTCCATGTTGGCGATTAGACTTACCACATGAGGATTTGCCTTCTGCTGGTAAGGAATGGTGAACATGAGACCAGTGGGCTTCAATTGCATCCAGTGAGCGTTTATCCAACACGCATGACAGCGTAGTTTGATAGGCATTCAGAACAGCTGGTTTCGTAATTTGGCTGGTGTCAATGCGCTCACAGCGTCGTCGCGGGTGTCTGCCAATACGCATCCGCAGGTCAGCACATACAAGTGCATGGTCGGTGTCCACACAGGTGCTCCAAATCGAGCGAAAGTTCTAGTTGCAGCCTCTTCAGTGGTAACTTATCGCAATGTGATCGATTGGCGTCCATAGCTGATTCAAGGTTGGTGGGCGCCAAGTCACCCTTCGGCCGGTGCTGTGTCGGAAATTAGTGCTCGCAAGAAAAAAGCGAGCATCTTCACACAAAGGAAGTAATCGCTCACCGTTATCATTACGGGAGCCTACACCATGTTGGGCGCCCAGATGCAGTTCACCAGTGGATAATTTTCCAACTTGAACGTTCAGATCCCCAGCCAGCACTACAGTATCCGAGCTTCTTCTGTGGCTAAGGAGCTCATTCAATTGACGATTGAAGTCGTCTTTTACCGAATCATCGCTAGAGTTTGTGGGTGGAAAGACAGCGATGACGAATTGACACCTGTTAGTCCCGCGCGACTTCGAAACTTTGAACGTACTAGGGAATCGGATCACACACAACCGACTACTGATAGGAATCCAGTCAACCAAAGCAGCTTCAGCCCGGGGACTGAGGCCAATATCGACACCGGCTTGGCCGGTGCTCGAAGTTGCATCGTCACCGGATAGGCGCAATCAGAAAGTGCTGCTGGTGTCACCTGAAGGGGATCGCAAAGTGAGGACAGAGCTCGAGTCTTGCAGGCGAGTCTCCGAAAAGCAGCAGATATCGATCGAGAGGTCTCTAATGTTCGGGCAAGTGCTGTCTGTTGACCGATTTGTAGCAATGTGTGTACATTGAGGTATGCCAATCTAAAGGAGGATCGATGGCTCCAAATGGAAGTCGATGAACTGGGTTTGGCCGTTTGGTTGGACATGGGCTTGTCGACAGGACAGGAGTGGCGCTCCGCGCTCACATGTGAGTTGAAACTAAAAGGTAAAAGACTAGCAAAGGAAGGTGGGGGATGGCCAAGAATTGGGGGGTTGAAAACAGAGGGGATAAATGTGAAGCTGGAACGGGACGGTAGGAGTGAAAAAGCGTAAGGGGGGAATAAGAAGATGGGGAGGCTTGAGCAGTAGCATCCAAACCCCTATCCACCCTGCTCGATGCAGCAGATAGGGCACCGTTTATTACCCTCTGCGGTGGCCAGAGCATCAAGAAACTGTTTGAAGAGAAATTCATTGTATTGCGTGGGCAGGATGCTGTCAGGTTTCCCAGGCCTAGAGAGGAGAACCACTGGGGTTCTCAACCAAAGCCTTTGGTTCAAAAACCTAACCGCAAGGCAGCGGGTTTGGCGTTGGGCTACAAGGAATCCGTTTTAAGGAATAAGGAGCCACCTCATTCCAACAAACAACCTGGAGGACCAGGAGGCTGAGTTTGTCTGGCCTCTAGCCATAGACCAATCTGGTATGAGTGGCTCTGAAGGTGCAAAAAAGCACCGCCCAGCATAGCTCAATGGATCGCTGAGGCACACAAACCATCGCACCACAGTAAGGTCCAGCCTCATTGCGATGGCGTATTACACAAACGCGACTATTACTTGGGATCCAATCAAGCAGCGCTGCTTCTGCGCTCGTAGTTAACGCAATTCCCACACTAGTGTGGCATACAGCTTCAGTACTTGCGTCTCCGGGTAAGCGTGGGGTGAATGTACCGTCGGAGGACGCAGGAGGTGATGTCATAGGGTTGCGCTGAAGTCCTGTAAGCGGATCTTCACGAGGCAATCAATATAGATGGTGAGGGTTTCCGAGGTGCGAGCAAGAGCTGCCTGCGCTTTTACATGTATGAGCGTTCCAACAGTTTACAGATTAAGCTTACTGAAACCTAGAGACATCTTGCGTAAAGGGTTGGGTGGTACACGATCAATCTGCCCACTGACACAATAAGAACTGTCATTCAGTTGAAGACGGTGCACTGGTGGCGCTCATGATCGAAGGGCGATTTTCGCGAATGGGGTAATTAAACAAACGTTGAACAGAACATGTGGAAAGTGGTTAGTTAGAGCATGGTATGGCAGAGGAGACCAAAAGAACGTTGGCCGAGAAAAGCGAAGGCGGAGGGAAGCATTTCGTTAGTTTATTAATCTTTATGCGTTGATTGGGTATGTGAATTCCCGGTTGCGCAAAGCGAGGAAGATGGTTGACTTGTGCAACCGTAACCTGTCGAGAGCCCGCTATCAAAGCGAAGATAGCACGCCGTTAGGGTAGAAAAAACTATTCAGGGGGCATAAAGCCCAAATATATTAACACAGAAACCAGGAAAACTTTCGTAGACAACCGAACTGGCTTCCAGGCACGAAGGCTATCAAGGTATGGTAGGATCATACGCCTTTATAGTGTTCGGTTGGAAATGCACACAGATGCTGGTGATCATCGAGGTTGTTTATCGGTCCTCTCCTAAGGACTCACTTTTGGTTGCAAAACTGGTCACATTGGCTCATGCACTGACGTCGCCGATGATTGTCCATGACTGCATACACATTTCGGCTGCAGAGCACACAAGACTAATTCACAGTTACCTACACAAAAAATAAATACCTCACACTGAAACCTAGGGACGTGCACAACAGCGTACAGTGACAGTTGCGACAGCGAAAATGGTTGATTTTGCCTTCAGTCCCAAGTAAGACAAGACCAGTTTTCAATTCTGGCGATAAAGTTGTGATACGATCAAGATATGCTGCACCAAATAGGCTTGGTTTAGACAAACAGCTCATCACTAAGATTGGTGCAATTACAAACCAGATTTGTAGGCTGACCGTTGTGAGCTCGTGATAGTGTTTACGAGACGCAGTGATTCAAAGTTTCATCGTCAATGTTATAACAGTAACCGGAAAGAAATGGTTGCCTTCCCAAAGGTATGGACTTCAAAGGCTAAATCCTGCTGACGCGTGGCAATTCCTAAGACAAGGTATAGCTAACCGTTATTTAGAAAATTATGAGAACAAGTAAGTGGGAACCGGCAAACCATAATTACGAGAGGATAATTTAACTAGTATGTACTAAGGACACGTAGAAGAGATGCTGTCCACCAAAAAAGAAAACGTCGAAAAGGTAGAATCGGGAGGAAATAGGAAAGAAACTTTGTGAAGATCATGGTTGAAAGCCTAAGGCATGAGCCAATATTAAGCCTAAGGGACAGTATGGCTGCGTACGACTGATGAAAGACAAGGTAATAAAGGACACAGTACCTGAAATGTATCGATTATCATCGCGAATACATTGTTGATTTGGCATGTGTATGGGGGGTTCATTTTGCGTTTCTTCCAGTTGACCAGGAGATAAAGCATCACCTGGGTGAGCGGAAGAACACGGCTCCGGGCAATTGGTCAAGCCGTTTTGAGAGAAACCACAGACCTGGGCAGCATCGGATAAAATATGCGGGCAGGCAGGAACGGAAGTAATGGGGGTGTCGAGAATAGGTGGGAAGGAGTGGGCTGAAACAAAGAATGAAGCAACAAATGACGAAGTAAGTGTGACGTGATACAATGTCAGCATTAAAAGTCTCTAATGAAATCAGTCCATATCTGGTTCACCAAGTGACATATAAAAGGTCATAAACATCCGGCAAATAGTTTCGAAATGGAGGATGGTGAACGCTTGACCAATCTGTCGAAGATGAATGTCAAACAAGTCAAACCTAACAGTACAATAAAGAAAACAAGGGAGTGAGCAACAAATTGGGCAAACGTCGATGACAACAGCAACAAAACAAGGACGACAACTACTATAAGAACAATACGGGTAACAACGACAATAGGTACAGCCAGAACGACAGATGATTCGGTGCCAAGCAAGACTGATGAACATATGGGGAAGGAGAATAAGTCCTGATACGGGACATATTATGTCAGTAAAAGAAATGGGGTAAAGGTGCCAGAACGTTGCTAACACGTCATGGTCACAAACAACTGACGGCAACTGCAAAAAAACATACAATCCACTCTGTCAGGTGTAACCGCAGCACAGAGAATACAGTAGCATGCAAATTTCAACCGAGTGGTCCGGAGAGGAGACGACTGGTATGTAGTACCAGTCTCGTTCTGAAATGTCCACAGACAGCCACGGGTTAAGTCACATGGAACCCGGTCTGAATGAGAAACACGTATCAATAGCTCCCAAGCGAATGGCCAACAACATCATTTCTCACCGCCTATCCAACAATCGAACATTTCCAATCACACACCATCCAACAGAAGGAAATAAAACAAGGTCTTAAGAAATGGACATGCATAAAACGTGTTAGCACCAACAAAATATGTGTATACGGTCGCAAGAATTGACCTTTCAATCATCACCCAGCAGTTGTCAGCCCCCTAGATGGTTACTACACATGAATGCGAACAGACACGATAGGTGCGCCGAAAATAACGATAAGTTGAAACATAAAGACACCTGAAATGCAGTGGCAGAAGGAGACCTTCAATGCTGTCTTTTAATGGCGATTAGCAAGACAAGAGAGAACCGCTCTTATGCCAAACGTGTTAAGGATTCATAACGGCAAGTTAACAACCGGGAAACATAAATGAATAACAGCCTATCACTTGTCACTGTAAATCCAATTGTTGCAAAGATCGGAGTAGCAAGCGAATTCCAGACGGCCAGTAATAACATGGTAAGCAGGTGGTTGATGCTAATGCAACAGCACTTTACCCGCGCACGGTGATAGGCGCCTGCTCAAAAAGGGACCACACTGAGATATCCACCAAGGGGTGACTGTTTACCGGCATAGAACTATGTATTATGTCAAGGGAAGGTAACAGAGAACAAGAAAGACCGTGTTGGGTTGAGTTCACTTTAGTTAATCAACCATGATCAGAGCAGCGAAATGCGGTGGATCCAGTTGTCACGACTCACATCGCAAAAGTAACAATAAAATACAACGGCAAGCTAGTGGGGATAAAGGAAAATAGAATGTAAGGAAAATGGAAGCAAGAAGGAAGTGCGTTAAGCTAATCAGAATGCAATGAAAATTAACAACCGGATGCAATAAAACGAATGCAGGAACGCCACAGACTACGTCAATGCGCCATGTCTGCTACGGTCTCCAACCATTCGTGCAGACTATCCCGAGGCATTCGCCCACGAAGACGGCATGCACCAGCCTCACCAAGTATCAGTCAATTTCTCCATGCCTCTATGCCACATTGCGGTTTCGCCCAAATTGGCACAGTCACGGTTGATAATGCAAGCCGAGGAAGCCGGTCAAAGGGTATACGGAGGACATGACCTAGCCAACGTAAGCGATTAAGATTCAGCAAGCACTCGAGTGAGGCACCAGATGTATTCTTGCCACAAACCAACTGGCGCACCTCAGCACTGCTCGCTCGATGTCCCCCAGACGCGAGTAATAGTCAGCAAACACCGGTGGTCAAACACGACCAGGCGTTTAATGTCTTCGCCGAGAACTGGCCAGGTCTCTACTCTATAGAGTAAGACCGGCCTTACGGCAGCGATACACACCCTACTTTTCATTGACAGGCTGATATCCCGCTGTCTCAATAGATGCTTGAGTCTTTGGATATCCACACGACTCTCGCTGATACGCGAAGTAAATTCCTCAGTGAGCTGACCACCAGAAGTGACACAGTTACCAAGGTAAGTGACCCGATCCATCAATTCCAGTGGCTGTTCAGGGATGGCTAGAACCGGAGAGGTGTCAGCCCAGTCATACAGCAGTACTTTGCGCTTCGAACATGCAAAGCACATGCCGGAACGTGCAGCGCTACGCACAAGTCTGTGAAGTAATGTTTGCATGGCCAATGCGTCAGACCCAACAAGAGAGCTATGTCGTCCGCATACTCCAGGTTTGTCAGTCGGTCACCTGGCAGGAGTTTTACTACGGTGGAATCTGAGAGAACCGAGTCATTCATGGTCATTACGCCCACGAAAATGAAGAGCAAAGGAGATATAGAACAACCCTAGCGAACGCCACCTAACGTGGGGAACTCAGCAGACACTTTCGCGCTGATCCTTACACGACCTCGGGAACCAAGATACAGGAAATCAGAACGGAAGGGTGTTTAGCAGGCACTGCCTTTATGAATAGGTAGCTCCACAAGCTGGCGCGATCAACAGTAAGTAAAAGTAAATCGCCAGCTGTACGCCGTAACAGCGCTTCGCTGCCACGCGACCACTACCAGTCGCGCGTGGGCTGAGTATACCGCGAGGACGCCCGCCCCTACGCGGATTCGAACCGGTGACCTTATGGTTGCAAGCCAGAACCGCATACTACTCGGCCACCGCCGCGGTCAACAGAGTCAAAGGCGGCTTTCAAATAAGGGAAAACCACCATCGTCGGTTGTCTGTATATGTGTCTCTGGTGTAACATTTGGTGAAGAGTAAATATGCCATCGACACAATCACGATCACGGCGGAAGTCAGTCTGGCTTTTAGTGAATGAGTTCTCACAGGGACCAAGTAGTCGTCGAAGAATGACACCCACGAGAAATTTTGAAGCAATATAAATAAGCCCGGTGACTCGATGATTTTCGCACAAAGTTCGCTGACCCTTCTTGAAGATGGACACGACAGTTGACAGTCACCAGTCTGAAGGCAATTTTTCAGTGTTTCAAATCGCGTTAAATAGGAAGGCGGGCCCAGACAAAAAAGAGTCGTCACCATCTTTCAGCAAACATGTGGAAGGTCGTCCAGTCCAGGAGCTTTGTTTCGTTTAGACACGGTAAGCTCATATCGAGTCTCTTCCAATGTGGGAGGTGTGACATCAACCTTCCATGCCAGCTCAGGTGATTCTGCAAGAGCCAGTGTCGCACCAGGCCTGCTGAACTGCTCCTCAAAGTGTTCCCTACAGCGGGCCAGTCGACGGCGCTGAGAATGGATCACCAGTTCATCTTTCGCGGTTATCGTCTCGATAACTGATGACTTTCTCAGAGCTGTGTTTCGGATGAGCTGGAATAGCACTGGCTTTCTCCACCTCACGGGACTTTGCAGCCCACCAACGTTCAAGGTCGATTCGGAGACTCCATGTCAGACGTCATTTCGCGAAGTTACGGACACGGTGAAACTCTGCCTATCGGAACCTGTTTACGTGATTACGGATCGACGCTTCTGACATCCATTCACAGTTACGTGGTGTCAAGTCGGGTGCGCAGCATGTGTGAAGGGCAATCTTCATAGCACATGGGAGACGATCCCAGTCAGCATTCGGTTCACCAGTCTCATCCATCACTGACATTTGGTGAACCAGTTCGTCCTGACAGGGCTGAACTGCCGATTGTGATTTGAAGTTACAGGTTAGAGGAATAAACGCAGACGATTATTTGTAGCGGGAAGAGGGAGCGCCATGCCTGCATGCACCATAGCATGGTAAGAATCCGGGCACGTGCTGTAAATTGACCGACAATCTTGGATTGATGTATCCCAAAATGCTGAAACGGCAATTACGTAAGCGACAGTCGCGGAAGAGTTATACGCCACCGACACTGAGCGCATGGTGGTGTAACACTTGCGGAAACGAGTGCCTGAGTCAGGCAGGGCTACTGCTCCAAGATCGAGGCCACTCGCGACCGCCACTGAAGCGACGACGGGTTCTGCAGAGAAGGTAGGCGGAACCGGCAGACCATTTGTAGGTACGTTGCGCTCGATTTACTAACCGCGAATTTGCATGCTATGTCTATTTTCGGTGGTCCATCTGCAATTTTGTCCTAATGTTATTCCAATATTAATGTATATCTGTACTATCTATAATAAACTTGCATAAATCGCTTAATCTGATTCTATGTTTCTTCGATAACATTTTCGCAGTTGTGGCATTTGCCTGAAGAACCTAGGACACTGTAGTGCTGGCTGGGGATCTGAACGCTCAAGTTGGAAAATTATCCACTAATGAACTGCATCTGGGCGCCCAACATGGTGTAGGCGCCCGTAATGATAACGGTGAGCGGTTACTTCATTTGTGTGAAGATGCTCGCTTATTTCTTGCGAGCACTAATTTCCGACACAGCACCGGCCGAAGGGTGACTTGGCGCCCACCAACCTTGAATCAGCTATGGACGCCAATCGATCACATTCCGATAAGTTACCACTGAAGAGGCTGCAACCAGAACTGTCGCTCGATTCGGAGCACCTGTGTGGACACCGACCATGCACTTGTATGTGCTGACCTGCGGATGCGTATTGGCAGACACCCGCGACGACGCTGTGAGCGCATTGACACCAGCCAAATTACGAAACCAGCTGTTCTGAATGCCTATCAAACTACGCTGTCATGCGTGTTGGATAAACGCTCACTGGATGCAATTGAAGCCCACTGGTCTCATGTTCACCATTCCTTACCAGCAGAAGGCAAATCCTCATGTTGTAAGTCTAATCGCCAACATGGACATTGGGTCTCTTCGCAGTCTGTAGAACTTATCGATGCTCGCCGGCATATTCCGGGTGGAATCGAACACAATGAAACTCGCAGAGGGCTCCGGGCAAAACTCCGTGCTAGCCTGAAGAGAGACCGCGAATCTTGGTGGGCTCATCGTGCATCAGAGATGGAAATAGCAGCTGCCCTTGGTAACCATCGTAAGTTATTCCGGCTGATACGGGAAAAGGGGAGCAGAAGACCTGGTGCTAGTGAAACTATACGTGACGGGAGTTGACAGCCTATCCCCAACTTGTCATAACGCTTGGAGCGTTGGGCTGAGCACTTTGAAAGGCAATTTAATCGGTCGGAATAGTTAGCTTCCTCGCCGGCCACGGATCTCCCTGCTCCCTGGGCTGTCCCTTTGGATCCACCCTCTCGCTCAGAAGTCGAACGTGAGATCGAACTGTTGAAGTTAAATAAACCCGCGGGACCAGATGATCTACCTCCAGCCTTCTTCAAATTCGGGGGACCTGCTCTGGTGGATGATTTATACGAGTTACTAGTGAAGCTGGGGGAGCAGGAAACTGTCCCAACTTCCTGGAGCCGCTCCGTCATAGTCCCGATTTTCAAGGGAGGCTGACGATCGGAATGCGGCAACCATAGAGAAACCAGTCTGATGTCCATCACCTCCAAATTGCTTGCCTCTATAATCCTTCACAGACTGACTTGCACTTGTGAAAGCCATATTCGTGAAGAGCAAGCCGGGTTTCGTCGAGTTCGTGGTTGCGTTGACCACATCTTCACTTTGCGTCAGTTGCGTCACATATATTGGCGGCCTGCCGTTGTCGTGTTCCTCGATATCAAAGGTGCATTCGATTCAGTGGATAGACGTGCACTTTGGGACTGTTTACTCAGGAAAGGTGTACCTGAGAAATATGTAAATATTATCCAACCATTATATGCGCGTAGCTCAGGCAGAGTAAAGGATTACGGCAAGCTGTCGCCGCCCTTTAATACTTCCAGCGGTGTGAGGCAAGGATGCCCGCTGTCACCTTTCCTCTGCAACTTCGCTATTGACGAAGTCATGGAAATCGCGTTCACAGGACACAACTTAGAAGATGTGGATCTGCTCCCAGGAGAACGACTTCTTGACTTGGAGTATGCTGACGATATTACCCTAATCTGTGACCGCTCCCAGACGTGCCAAGTGGCACTGGACAGCTTAGCACTGGCTGTCAGCCGCTACGCGTTTTGCTTTGCACCATCGGAGTGCGAAACGTTCCTCCAAGATTGGCCTGGACCTCCTCCTACGCTGACCCTTCGTTGGGGATCAGCTAGGAGTCGTTCAGAAATTCAACTACCTGGGAAGTTGGATCATCGCCCTTGGGATCGAAGATAAGATCACGAACCGTATAGCACAAGCTCCGGGCGCTTTTGCTAGCCTTCGTCACTTATGGCGCCAGCGCGACGTCACTCTTGTCCTGTACAATGCAGTGGTACGTTCGATCTTACTGTTCGGTTGCGAAACCTGGCCCCTTAGTTCAGCGGACATAAAAAGGCTAGTTACGTTCGACCACCGGTGGCTTCGCAATTTAGCTCACATCTGTTGGGAACACCGCGTGAGCAACGAGCGTGTTCGACGCCTTGTTTGCGACCCAGAAAAAGGAACTGAACCGTTGAGCATCGTTATTTCACGCATTAGGCTCCGATGGTTTGGCCACGTGTTGCGCATATCAGCCTACTGACTCTCGCGACGTGCGTTGTTTTCTCACTGGGGTGTGGATGGAAGAAGAGGAGGGGTGGCCAAGCGATGATTTGGTCGAGAGGAATGAAGGTCCTTACTTGGAAGCTGGTCTCGGTTGGAGCTTCCCAGCTCCCTGGTTGGGGTCCGAAAGACGATGAACACGTTTGGCTGGATACACTTGCTAACAAGTCTGGGAGGCGAAACCAACGGTGTTCCTGCTGTGAGTTTCTTTGTTCCTCCCCATCCCTCTTAGCCTCCCTTCCAACCACGATATCATTTCGCAGCATAATATAATTTTAAATAAGAATTTTTCTTGTTGCCTAGTAGGCGGCTAGGAGCTTTCCGGAATGATGCCCACCGGTCGCTGGCAGCTCAGCTGGTAGGCAACTGCTGTATTAACTTTCGTTTTCATTCACGAAACACGGACAGTTGCTGAGATGCTTTACACCTCTAGCTAAGGTGTATGATGATGATGATGATGTTGTCGACGACGACGACGACGATGAGGATGATCGAAGTTAAGTACAATTAGCTTAAACGACGTGTGCAAATTTATAGAAGATAGTTCACGTAGAAATAAATATGAGATAAAAAGCATTAGGACAATATCTCAAACTTACCACCTGCATCCAAGCACGAGGTTAGTAAATCGAATGCAGCGTACCTACAGACGCTGTGCCGGTTCGGACTACGTTCTCTGCATGCACGAGGACTTTTTCTTGCACCTCGGCAACTGCATTCGTGATCAGATCCCGCCATGCACGTCGATAAACCGCTTTCCATTTCCATGAACTTCAATTAATATTAGGATGAGATGGGCTCATTTTTATCAGGTTCTGATGACGTACCTTTGGTTTTCACTATATATGTGGTGGGCAGCATCCGGTTGCGGATTTGCCTGTCCCTGCGGCCAGCCACAGAACACCTGTGACTACAGAGGGACCATGGGTGGCTTGCGCTGCACCACCGTCGAAACGATACTGGACCTTAACGTGGTGCGACGGTTTGCGTACCTCATTGACCCATTGAGCTATACTGGATGATGCCTCCGAGAGCTACTCTTACCAGGTTAGTCAATGGTGAGAGGTCAGACAAACTCAGTCTCCTGGTCCTCCAGGTTGGGGTTTGAAATGGGATGGCGTCCATTTCTGTAAAACAAAATCACTGCCACTCCGCTGCCTTGCGGACAGGCTTTTGAGCCAAAGGCTTTGGATGAGGATCCTAATCATCCTCCTGTCTAGGTCTGGGCGCCCTGGCAGTATCCCAGCCCACATACAACCATGACATTCTCTTCAAACATAAACTTCATCCTGCATCGGCCGTCGCGCAGATTATCAAGGGTCGCCTTATCTGCTGCATACAGCAGGGCGGATAAGCGAAAAAATGCTACTGCTGGCGCCTCCCTTCTTTCTTTTCCACCTTTTTCTCTTACTCCCATCCCGGCCCCCATTACTTACCTTCCTTCTATAATTCCCAGCTTAATTGACAGCAACCGAAGTGCCACTGGAGTATTACCATCTGCAGCCACCATCCCACAGCACCTCTCGGACGCCTATCGGCAAAAGTCCCTTATAAGGCCCCACTGTCCCGTTTCCATGGCGACATTCAATGTCCGCACTCTAAGACAAACAGGTCAGCAGGAGGGGGGGGGGGGGGGGTGGGGGGGGGGGGGGGGGGGGGGGGGGGGGTGGGGGGGGGGGGGGGGGGTGGGGGGGGGGGGGGGGGGGGGGGGGGGGGGGGGGGGGGGGGGGGGGGGGGGGGGGGGGGGGGGGGGGGTGGGGGGGGGGGGGTGGGGGGGGGGGGGGGGGGGTGGGGGGGGGGGGGGGGGGGGGGGGGGGGGGGGGGGGGGGGGGGGGGGGGGGGGGGGGGGGGGGGGGGGGGGGGGGGGGGTGGGGGGGGGGGGGGGGGGGGGGGGGGGGGGGGGGGGGGGGGGGGGGGGGGGGGGGGGGGGGGGGGGGTGGGGGGGGGGGGGGGTGGGGGGGGGGGGGGGGGGGGGGGGGGGTGGGGGGGGGGGGGGGGGGGGGGGGGGGGGGGGTGGGGGGGGGGGTGGGGGGGGGGGTGGGGGGGGGGGGGGGGGGGGGGGGGGGGGGGGGGGGGGGTGGGGGGGTGGGGGGGGGGGGGGGGGGGGGGTGGGGGGGGGGGGGGGGGGGGGGGGGGGGGGGGGGGGGGGGGGGGGGGGGGGGGGGGGGGGGGGGGGTGGGGGGGGGGGGGGGGGGGGGGGGGGGGGGGGGGGGGGGGGGGGAGGGGGGGGGGGGGGGGGGGGGGGGGGGGGGGGGGGGTGGGGGGGGGGGGGGGGGGGGGGGGGGGGGGGGGGGGGGGGGGGGGGGGGGGGGGGGGGGGGGGGGGGGGGGGGGGGGGGGGGGGGGGGGGGGGGGGGGGGGGGGGGGGGGGGGGGGGGGGGGGGGGGGGGGGGGGGGGGGGGGGGGGGGGGGGGGGGGGGGGGGGGGGGGGGGGGGGGGGGGGGGGGGGGGGGGGGGGGGGGGGGGGGGGGGGGGGGGGGGGGGGGGGGGGGGGGGGGGGGGGGGGGGGGGGGGGGGGGGGGGGGGGGGGGGGGGGGGGGGGGGGGGGGGGGGGGGGGGGGGGGGGGGGGGGGGGGGGGGGGGGGGGGGGGGGGGGGGGGGGGGGGGGGGGGGGGGGGGGGGGGGGGGGGGGGGGGGGGGGGGGGGGGGGGGGGGGGGGGGGGGGGGGGGGGGGGGGGGGGGGGGGGGGGGGGGGGGGGGGGGGGGGGGGGGGGGGGGGGGGGGGGGGGGGGGGGGGGGGGGGGGGGGGGGGGGGGGGGGGGGGGGGGGGGGGGGGGGGGGGGGGGGGGGGGGGGGGGGGGGGGGGGGGGGGGGGGGGGGGGGGGGGGGGGGGGGGGGGGGGGGGGGGGGGGGGGGGGGGGGGGGGGGGGGGGGGGGGGGGGGGGGGGGGGGGGGGGGGGGGGGGGGGGGGGGGGGGGGGGGGGGGGGGGGGGGGGGGGGGGGGGGGGGGGGGGGGGGGGGGGGGGGGGGGGGGGGGGGGGGGGGGGGGGGGGGGGGGGGGGGGGGGGGGGGGGGGGGGGGGGGGGGGGGGGGGGGGGGGGGGGGGGGGGGGGGGGGGGGGGGGGGGGGGGGGGGGGGGGGGGGGGGGGGGGGGGGGGGGGGGGGGGGGGGGGGGGGGGGGGGGGGGGGGGGGGGGGGGGGGGGGGGGGGGGGGGGGGGGGGGGGGGGGGGGGGGGGGGGGGGGGGGGGGGGGGGGGGGGGGGGGGGGGGGGGGGGGGGGGGGGGGGGGGGGGGGGGGGGGGGGGGGGGGGGGGGGGGGGGGGGGGGGGGGGGGGGGGGGGGGGGGGGGGGGGGGGGGGGGGGGGGGGGGGGGGGGGGGGGGGGGGGGGGGGGGGGGGGGGGGGGGGGGGGGGGGGGGGGGGGGGGGGGGGGGGGGGGGGGGGGGGGGGGGGGGGGGGGGGGGGGGGGGGGGGGGGGGGGGGGGGGGGGGGGGGGGGGGGGGGGGGGGGGGGGGGGGGGGGGGGGGGGGGGGGGGGGGGGGGGGGGGGGGGGGGGGGGGGGGGGGGGGGGGGGGGGGGGGGGGGGGGGGGGGGGGGGGGGGGGGGGGGGGGGGGGGGGGGGGGGGGGGGGGGGGGGGGGGGGGGGGGGGGGGGGGGGGGGGGGGGGGGGGGGGGGGGGGGGGGGGGGGGGGGGGGGGGGGGGGGGGGGGGGGGGGGGGGGGGGGGGGGGGGGGGGGGGGGGGGGGGGGGGGGGGGGGGGGGGGGGGGGGGGGGGGGGGGGGGGGGGGGGGGGGGGGGGGGGGGGGGGGGGGGGGGGGGACTCGCACGCACCTTGGACACACTGGGTGTTGATGTGTGTTTTGTGTCCGAAACTAGGATTAATGACCCTAACGGGGTTATTGAATTGACTGCACCCGGCTTATCCTCTCGTTATTGGTTGCATGTATCCGGAGACGCCGATGCGGCACTCACGGGTCAAGCTGGTGTAGGTATCATTCTCAGCTCCAAGGCTAAGCCACCGTTGTTTGATTGGAATCCGGTGAACAGCCGTTTATGTGCAGTCCGTTTGACGACATCAGCTAAAGTTGATTCACGAAGCAGTAAAAGACGCAGTTTGCTTGTGATTTCCGCTTATGCTCCCACCGACTGCAGTTCTGATGCTGTCAAGGACACATTCTATCATGAACTGAACGCGCTACTACGCAGTGCTACTAGTTCAGATATTATAGTACTTGCAGGGGATATGAACGCACAAGTAGGGCGTCTGAGCTCTTCAGAAGCTCTGCTGGGTTATAATTGTGGGCTTAACTCCGAACGGACTGACAACGGTGAGCGTCTGCTGCAACGGTGTGCAGGGCACCAGTTGTTTCTTAGTAGCACCGCTTTTAGACACAGCGGGCACCGAAGTGCCACTTGGCGTTCTGCTGTAGTTGGCCAGCAATGAACCCAAATTGACCACATAGCCATAAGTTACAGGTGGCGTGGTTCCATACTGGATTGCCGCTCATACTGGAATACCTGTGTCGACTCTGATCATGCCTTAGTACGCTGTCGTTTCTCTATGAACTTTACCGGGAGGCGCACCAAACCTCTCCCGCGATCGGCAACTGATAAATGGTCTCAGCCCTCGATCAAGCAAGCCTATCAAGAAGCAATGTATAACGAACTTCCGCTGTCTTGTCCTAATGACACTGAGCTTCAGTGGAATAGGATCTCGGCCGCCATACACGACGCAGGAGCAGCTGCTTGTGGCACTATCCATCGTCACCGCACCAGTCACTGGATATCCGAGAGGTCGTTGAACCTGTTGGAATCTAAAAGACACCTCCCGCCTGGCTCTGAACACTATGTGACCAGACGGGCAATTAGGCGTGAACAAAAGCAGAGCCTACGTGGTGACAAGGAAGCCTGGTGGACCAGCAGGGCTCAAGAAATGGAGGAAACAGGAGCGGTAGGCAATTACCGCAAGCTCTTCCACCTAGTGCGCACCACTGGTCCCAGAAAACCAGGCGTCAGTGAGACAATCAGAGACAGCGCGGGTGCGCTGATACACAATAAGGAGCGCCGTATGGATCGTTGGGCGGGACGCTTTCAAGATCAGTTCAGCTGGCCTCCTGCTCCCGCACCTCTTCCTACTCAGGTGATGCAGGACGAGCCATGGACGGTTAGTTTAGAGCCCCGTCGGAGGCCGGGGTCCGAAACGCGATCACAGCGCTCAATCGTTTTCGTGCCGCTGGCCCGGATTCCTTCCCACCTGCACTATTAGAACGCATTTCGAAGGAAGAGTGTGCCGACTAATTGGAGTGAATCGATACACAATACACAATACGCAAGAAGGGCAGTCGCACAGACTGTTCTCACCACAGGTGTGTTAGCCAAACGCCAGTTGTGACAAAATTACTGGCCTGGATTCTCGTTCGTCGCCTCACTGCGGAACAGGAATCTCGGATTAGAGAAGAGCAGGCCGGTTTCCGCCCAGGACGTGGCTGTATAGACCATATATTCACTTTGCGGCAGGTGCTAGAGCAGCGCCATGCATACCACAGACCGACAATAGCTGTGTTCCTCGATTTCAAGAGTGCGTTTGATTCGGTCGATTGATCAATTCTGTTCGAATTACTTCCGCGGAAAGGTGTTCCCACGAAACATGTGAACATCCTTCATGCTCTATACTCGAACACCACAGGCCGCGTCAGAGTCTACGGTGGCCTATCGGATAGCTTTCCGACCACAAGTGGCGTTCGTCAGGGTTGTTTGATTTCCCCATTTTTGTTCAATTTCGTCGTGGATTCTATCATGGAGTGTTCCCTTGCGGAATCTCACGACATCGGCGTTGAAGTACTGCCTGATGAAGGGTTAGTTGAGCTAGATTATGCGGACAATATCGTCTTGATTTTCGACAATATTAAGGCGGACCAATCAACCCTGATTAGTCTATCCAGAGTGGTCCAATTATTTGGGATGCACTTCGCACCTGCAAAGTGCAAAGTGTTGCTGCAGGACCACCAGCCACTTGATGACCCCTTGACGCTTGCTAAAGAGAAACTCGAGGTGGTAGATCAATTCACTTATCTTGGCAGCTGCATCAGCAATGATGCGCGCATAGAAACTGACGGCAGCTCACGCAATGCAAAAGCCAGAGCTGCCTTCTTAAATCTGCGGCATCTTTGGCGACAGAAGGGAGTTTCCCTTCGTCTGAAAGATCATGTATACAAGGCCACAGTGAGGGCCGTTCTGCTCTATGGTAGTGAAACTTGGCCCCTTCGGTTTGAAGATCTGAGGCGCCTTCAACTCGTTGACCATCGTTGTCTGCGAAGCATTGCTGGAGTCGGATGGCACCAGCGAGTCCGCAACGATGATGTGCGTAGGCGAGTATTAGGAAGTGATAATCATGCTAGCTCCCTGGAACAACAGATAGCACTGAATAAGTTGCGTTGGTTGGGCACGTGTTACGTATGCCTGGTCACCGCTTACCTAGGAAAGCCTTGTTTAGTCTGCCAGGTGTAGGGTGGCGTAGAGCACAAGATGGACAGAAGTTGACTTGGCAGCGGGAAATGAAAACAGTGAAGACCAAACTGCGTGCCGCTGGTCCGTCTCGCCTTTCGGGCTGGAGTCCACGTGACTCGCCTTGTGCTTGGCTCCAGACTTTACAGGATATGGCTCGGAACCGACACCAATGGCGCATCTGCTGCCGTCTCCTAATTGGATTGCCTGTTTAAAGTGTGTTTGGTGCTGAGTTATCTGCGAGGTAATGGCTGGTTATGACGCGGGGCACTGAAAGCCGCAGGGAAGCTGTCTCGCCGATGCCCGCCTTATCTTTGCATGATAGCCAGCTGTTTGTGACGGTATATTGTCTACACAAGGTGTAGGCGCCTTGATCCAGAATGTTTGCTTAGGGCATTAAGGTTTTCAGGTAAGTCCCCCTTCTCTCCCTCTTCTTTTACATTATGTCATAGGTCCACATGGTTGTATGGCAGCGAAGCATCAGTTCAAACGGCTGATGTACTGCTGTCGATGATGATGATGCGCTGCACCACCCATAGCTCCAACCACACATAGCATATCCAGTGTAAACCCGAAGGAACAAGACCGGGAGGCATGGGGATGGGAGTCAGGTTACACCCACGGAGCCGGTCCACAATCCTTCCCAGGCATACACAAGCACGTTGTATTTGGGAATCAAGTGCACACAAGGCAGTAGCTGGACCGCAGTCCGCTCTACACTGAGTGCATGGAACCACTCTTCGAGCCAAGCACGACCACAAGGACTGTGCACCCCGTCCCCTCCAGCAACAACCAACTGTCTTCTGGAGCCAGTATGGACGAGGTAGTGGGTAATAGACAGGTAGGCACCTTGTCAACATGCACATCAAGCGCAGCCACACCCGGGATGTCAAACAACAGCCAAAAATGCGAAATGCCGATATGAAATCAAAGAAATCGAGTAAGATAAACGCACATGACGACATAAATACTCGCTAAATGAGCATATGGAAGAAATTGGTTGTAAGCTAATCCGCGATGAGTACAAAATGTCGGAAAGTTATTTAAAAAATACCACGCGATACAATTACGCAAGTTTGCCACAATTTGCATGATCAACGTGTGCAAGTTGGGAGAAGATTATCAGGTTCGCAGAATAAACCGAATAAAGTGGAATGAATTTAATCCACATTTAAAAGACCTAGATTAAGTGTAAGTTGGTTTAGCCCAACTGCGGTGAAGCATCATGTATGCAAAATCAGTCTCAGCATGGATGGCGACATCCAGTTGCGGATTTGCCTGTCATTGTGGCCAGCCACAGGAGGCCTGCGCATAAAGAGGGACCATGGGTGGCTTGCGCTGCAACACCCACAGCTCCAACTACACAGTCCATATCCAGTGTAAGCCAGAAGAAATAGTAGAACTGAAGACTGGTAGCTCAGGTTGTTCAGATGGAGGGTTGAACTGTTCGCTGAACTTGACAACGTTGTTGCATAGGTTTCGTCACCAATCGAAGCCTGGTACTCCCCAACAAAGTCAATCAAACGACACATCGAACTGGACGCAGTATACGCAACAGTACTGACGAACGATCGCCAACTCGATGGGTTGAATCCGGTGGAACGTGTGACTAGACAACTTGAACTGACAGACTCGCTCACAAGAGTAAGCAGACAAGGGCCACGAAACAGAATGGGTCAAGGTCAAAGGTCATCAACCCATCAACAAAGCTGAACGCGGATCGGTCCCAACCAGGATTGCTTGTCTCCACAGGCGACTACGGCAGTATAAAAACGCAGGCACACCACGCTCAGCGCACTCCAACCGAGGCTCCTATATGCTACTGCACCCCACTCAACTACGCACTGATGATGTCATCTCGATCGGTGACGAAATGTTTGCAACAAAATTGCCAAGCCCAGCGAACAGTTCAACCGCCATCCGAAGGAATAAGATCGGGAGGTATGTGGCTAGGAGCCACGTTTCATCAACGGAGCCGGCCCACACTCCTTCACAGGTAAACACAAGCACGCTGTATTTGGGAGTCAATCGCACACAAGGCGGTGGCTGGATAGTAGTCCGCTCCACACTGAGTGCATGGAATCACTCTTCGAGCCTGGCACGGCCGCGTCTTGCAACCCCGCCCGATAACCACGCAAACGGCCCGCGCGGGGCGCTCGCAATACGCAATTAAGCCACCGTCGTTGACGTAGCGAGAAGAGATCCTCGTGCCAGTTACTGACTCCACCCAAGGCACACTATCTAATCACCACATTGATTTCGAGTTGCAGCCACCACACACAGTCAATGAACCGCAAACAACGGTACTTCGAAAAAAGACAGTCGGCGCAGGCCAACGGTAACAACAT